GGGGGGGGGGGGAGGTACTCCCATATATTACCTATACGGCTATGTGCCGCCCAACGGGGTCTTGATTTTGAAGCTCGTGATTTAGAACGGGGTATCCATTTCAGAGGCGTTTTCCAGAACGGGGTATAAAAATTGTGGATCATGGCTTTATCTTTTGCTTAAAATTGTTGCTGATTATGAAGAAGCATTTATTTGATGTATAAGTCGAACAAATAAAGAAATATCTTTTTAAAAAAACAAGGCTATTTCAATTTACAAACTTTCTACAATGGAGTATAAAAAATTGGCCCATTTCTAGAACGGGGTATCAGTTTTAGGGCGAATTCTAGAACGGGGTATAAAAAATTGGCCCATTTCTAGAACGGGGTATCAATTTTAGGGGAATTTTTTTTTGAACGGGGTGCCAATTTGGAGTCCTGGGCGGCATATACCCACCCAAAAAATACTCAAGTGCCCCCACGGGACTAAAACCTATTTCTATCAAAGGTGCAAAACTTTGAACAATATCCATGCCTACTAGCACTTATATTCACTAAGCTAAAAAGGGATTACAGTTTTACCACCTCTCCAGTGTGTCTACAAAAACAACAAACCCTTCTAGTGAAAATGAGTTTTATTTGCATGAGAATGAAAAATCATTTCCATACCAAAGGCTTAGCACTTAACCTCGTTTTGACACAGAGGCCGGGGGGAACTCGGAAATGGCCTATGCGTGAAGCAGACCACTTTCATTTTGACAATGGCAAAAATAACATTTGCTCTCTAAAAATTAAGAACTCAAACAGGCGGCTTTTAAACGTGACCTTGCGTGAATGACCTCTCAGTGTGAGACAAGTGACGAATTTGGTTTAATAGTCCAAATCAAGAATCCTCCAGAGCATAATAATCTATCCGTTGGAAAGAAAACTGTAAATAAAACTATTAGTGGCATCTGAGGCATAATCAAAAGCTCGCGTGCCGGCTCACTTTTCCTCGGCACATTGGTAGCTCGGCCGCCAAAAATCGTCCCCGAACTCACAGAGGTGAGCCTGCGAGTGACAGAGGCATTTCCGTGTTTTTGTGTGTGTGTCTTCTGGAGAGTTTCGATTATATTATGATAAACAGGATTTTCTCAACCGGTCATGAGAACAAACCAAGCCAGTACAAGAATCCGTTCTGTTTACTTCTGATAAAAAAACAATTGGCAAAAGCTGAAAAGTATCAATAATAAATCATTAAACATATAAATTTCACGTTCTATTCACTCACCATGTGCAAACTTTGCGATGAAACGTGACAAAAGTACTTGCCTCCTAAAGAATGTACTAAGCTCATGCATGTTTTGAACCATCACGAACATCCCTCCTGTCACTTTAGCAATGCCTTCCAGAAGTTCCTTTTACCAGGGAAATGGAATTAACAATTAGTTCATGCGTCAGCGTGCGTATGTCGAGATACTGGAGAATGAATTAATTGTTTCATAACCCCAGCGGGGTGGGGGGGGGGGGGGGGGG